TAGAAAAATAAAATGCCATTTACACCATACAGGCTGCCCTAGGACATACACGACACACACGTTTGGAGAAGGTGTAAAGAATAATCACAGTTAAGGGGCCGGCGTTGAGGCGTAGCAGATAAACCTACCACCTGCAGTGCCAGCATCCCGTATGGGCTCTCATTCGAGTCCCAGCTGCTCCACTTCCCATCCAGCTCTCTGCTATGGCCTGGGAAAGCAGTGAAAGATGGCCGAAGTGCTTGGGCCCCTGCACCTGTGTGGGAGATCTGGAAGAAGCTCCAGCCTCCTGGCTTCAGATCGGCCCATCCAGCTGTTGCAACCATTTGGGGAGTGAACCAACAGATGGAAGATCTCTTTCTCTCTCTGCCTCTGTCACTCTGCCCTTCAACTAAATAAATCTTTTATAATAAATAAATAAAGCTTCTACTAAAAAAGGATAATTACAGTTAAGAGGAAGTCCACGGTTGTGGTCGGTCTTCCTGCAGGTGCTGAGATTTGACTTGGCTCTTGAATAAGGTGATAAGCATGTGCTAATGACCAAGGGCAGGGCAGGACAGGGCAGGGCAGGGCATCTCCAGCAGCTGGAGCAGGACACTGGGAGGAGGCAGATTGTAAACTCCAGGCTGTGGCCTACAAAACTTGATTATTTTATGCCCGTCCCAGGCTTTCATTAGATCCTCCTAGCAGCACAGGACATCGCCTCACGTGGTGCACACCCTCACAGCCTCATCCCAGCCCGTGGCTGTCAGGGGAATTCTTCAAACGTGCTCACCAGCACGCCAGGTTTTTTTTCTTGGGATTCCCACAGGAAAGGACTGTTTCTTCCTTTCTGCTGCATCCGACTGTGTTTTTAGGCTCTTCTGTATCCAGGAAAAGGGAAATACCCTACATGCTATTCTCCCAAACTGCTGGAGCCTTCCTTGAGGTCGGCACAAGTCTTTTCGGGAAAGCTCTTAATCAGATTTCCTCAGCGGGGGCTCGGAGTGACAAGCAAATGGGGCGCCGTCCTTGTGGCGGGCGTCACGTCTAGACGCGGGCTGCAAAACAACAGCGACTCCACAGCAGACACGACCCGCTGCCGTGTTGTTTCCCAGCGAGCTGGCGCGATGGAACCCTCTCCTCTTCCGGCAGGTCTGGAGGGCACGTGAGGGGCCCGCTGGCGGCCTGAGGGGACGCGCGTGAGGCGAGCCCGCCAGATCCCAGGAGAGAGGGGCGACCGTCTGGGGGAAACTCCGCCCCTCAGGGGATTATTTACAGTAGTTCGCCCATAAGCTCAGGCTGTCCTCCCCCTGCCTGAGCCCTGCTGGGGGTCGCCGACTCCGGCCAGGTGGTCATCTGCCCTTTCCCTTGAGCAACACTGGCTGGGAAGGCGCGCGGCGACCCAGAGCGGGCAGCCGTTGGCTTCTGTCAGAGCCCCTCAGCAGGCAGCCGGTTGCCAGCTGCCCGCTACACCTGGAATCAGGTGGCTCCCAGAGGGACACAGATAATCTGGGTTGAGAGCAATGGCATCAGGGGAAAAGACTGGTGTCACCAGATCAATACATGGGCCTCGCAAATTAATGTCTTGGCTCTGAGTTTATATTCAGGACATTGCTGCTCCATGACAGAGACACTAAAAGGAACAGACATTTTGCTCCCAACAGGAGCCAGTTCCCTTTTCTTACCGAGCAGACCACTAGAGATGGGACCGAAGAAGGAAAAGCCATCGCACACACTCACGTGCTATGAATTTTGTGTTTGCTGCAGCTCGCCTCTTGCAGATGATGTGGACGCTGGGAGGGGGGCCCTGCCTGTGTGGCACCCACGTGGCTTGTAAGGACGATTCTCCCTACAGTCAGGTTCTTGGTAGCATTACTCACAATGGCCGGAAGGTGGAAGCAACCCAAGCATGGTTGAAGTGGGGGTGTGCACATAGGCACCGTGGAGTGTTATTCAGCCTTGAAAAGGAAGGGAATTCTGACACACAGCACGACATGGATGAAACTTGATGACATAATGTGCAGTGAAATGATTCACAAAGAGACAAATGTTGTCTGATTTCACTGGTATGAAGTACCTAGCATAGTCACGTTCAAAGAGGCTGCCAGGGGCTAGGGAAAGTAGGCACTGGGAATTTATTATTTAATGCATCCAGAATTGCAGTGTGGAAAAATGAAAATGTTCCCGAGATGGGAGGTGGTGATGGCAGCACAATGTCACTAGACACCTAAAAATGCTTAAATGGTCAAGTTATGTATAATTCTCCCACAATAGGGGGGAGAAAAGAAGGAATTTTTCAACCATCAGCCACTGTGGGCTCTGAGAAGATTTCTTAGGAATTCTCGGTTGAGTAGAAATGGTTTAAACCCTGACTGAGTTTACTTTTGTACATAAATTCGTAATCGGAGAGGCTGACAAACTCATTATGCATCCATCAGTCATACAAAACAAACACAGTTTGCATCATAGCCACAGAAGGTTTACCAGCGAGGCAGTTTTCTTATCCTGTAGATCATGGCTTTTCAAACGCCAGTCTGCTTGGAAATCACCAGGGCGCAGCTTTGGTGAAAATGCGGTTCTGACTCAGTGGGTTTGGGGTGGGGCTCAGAGATCACGGTCTGACTGGTTCCCAGCTGGTGCTCATTCTGCTGGTTCTGGGACCCCAGTTGAAGCAGCACAGATGTCGACCTCTCTACAGTTAAGATCCCTGCCCACACCCCACAGGTGAGAGCACCACTATTAACACCAAGTCATCCCCAGATTCAGCTGGAAGGAGAGTTTCTAGGTGCTAAGAATTATTTCTAGGATCCTCTTCTTTTCTTCTCATTGTCATCAAAAGTCAGGTTTCAGGGACCTATAATTTCTGCCTTTTCTCTACGCCAAGCAGGAGGAAACCCTGAACAAACCCCTTGTCCTTATCCTCTTTACGTATAGGCCAGAACAGCTGCAATTTTCAAAGGCAACAAGCAAGGCAGGAAGGAAAGAAAGAGTGAGAAATATAAATGCCCAAAGCAAATGCTTTCCTCCGAAGTCCTCTACAAGAACCTTTCAGGGGCTCCCATTGCTTTCAAGCTACAGTTCAAACTCCTTAGAGGGCTGACAGGAGCCTGACCGGGTCTCTTGCCCTTCCCTGCCCTGACTCTATGCTCAGCCATAACGAGTTCTGTTTTTCTTGCATCATATGCATGGATTTCAAAATAAACTTATCTTTTTCACTCCATTTTCCATGACCTTTTTGCAATGCCTTTGTGCAGTTGATCTCCCCTTGATGTAGCACCGATGGCCGCCTTCTGTCACATGGCAGGCATTGTCTCCTCTGGGAGCCACTCTGCTCATGTACCACCTCACTGCCCGCCCTCCGTGTTGAGCCGACCTTCTGTGCTGGGCTGCATGCTGAAGTGCTTGCCCCAGTCATGGCATCTTTTCATGGCATGTCCTTGTCTATATCCTCCCTGGATGATGGACTCCTTGAGGGATGGGACGGTATCCCTAGCACGATATCTAGAACACAGGAGGTGCTCAAACAGTGCTGAAAGAATGAGTAAATGCAAACGAACTGTAGCTTTGTGTGACATTTGGAGGAGACATTGCTTAGGTCCTGAAACACTGTGCAGTTGCCCTCGGAACCACTTTTCTAAATGTCAGACACATTGACACCAATTTCTGCATTCTAGCAACTGCAGCTGAACTCCTTCTTCCTCATTCTGATGAACTGTATTCCTACAGCTTCCTCATCTTATAGCATTAACCGTGTATCTTCTCCTGCTGAAGACTAAATACAAAGAAACACACGACAGGGTAACAGTGGTTTCATAATAAAATTTGGGAAAGTCTGGGACCTCTTTGCATATTACTGTGCTAATTGTACCTTTCGTCCAGCTGATTTGACCCTAAAATAATGCTTTAAAATAGCAGTGAATCTGATTTTGAGGTCTCTGGGCATCTAGGAATTACTAGAAGTCTTTGAATTGCTACACCTTTATGTGTATGTATAGACTATGATATATACACTGCCTGCCTTATGCAAAGTACTGTGCCAGGGGCTCATGCTGCCAAAGGCTTTAGTCTTTTTTTTTTTTAAGATTTATTTTTATGGGGCCGGCACTGCGGTGTAGTGGGTAAAGCTGCCACCTGCAGTGCCAGCATCCCATATGGGTGCTGGTTCGAGTCCCGGCTGCTCCACTTACCATCCAGCTCTCTGCTATGGCCTGGGAAAGCAGTAGAGGATGGCCCAAGACCTTGGGCCCCTGCACCCATGTGGGAGACCTGGCTTCAGATCAACACAGCTCTGGCCATTGCAGCCAATTGGGGAGTGGACCAGCGGGTGACAGAAGACCTCTCTCTCTGCCTCTCCTTCTCTCTGTGTGTAATTCTGACTTGCAAATAAATTTTTTAAAAAAGATTTATTTTTATTTATTTGAAAGAGTGTTATAGAGAGAAGTAGAGACTCACAGAGAGAGATCTTCCATCCACTGGTTCACTCCCCAAATAGCCGCAATGGCTGGAGCTGAGCCTATCCAAAGCCAGGAGCCAGGAGCTTCCTCAGGGTCTCCCACGTGCATGCAGGGGCCCAAGGACTTGGGCTATCCTCTGCTGCTTTCCCAGGCACATTAGCAGGGAGCTGGATTAGAAGTAGAGCAGCCGGGACTTGAACTGGCACCCATATGGGATGCCAGCTGTCGCTCCCCCTCTTCGCGGAGGAACAACACTAAACCCTGCCTAGGCTTCCTATCCGAGTCACGGCACCATTATGTCGCTCCCCCTCTTCGTGGAGGAACGACACAGGACCCTGCGCTGTTCTTTTGTCTGCTCGGCCCTTCCCGGGTTTGCTGCTGGTTCTTCCCGGGTTGGCTACCGTCCCTTCCACCTCCGTGGAAGGGCGGTTCCCCCTGCCACTTTCCCACTTCCGCAGGGGAGCGGCACACCGCCGGCCGGCTCTCTCGGAGGCTTCTCGGAGGCTTCTCGGAGGCTTCTCGGAGGCTTCTCGGAGGCTTCTCGGAGGCTTCTCGGAGGCTTCTCGGAGGCTGCTCAGATGTTGCTCAGGTGTTCCCCTTAGATGTTCCTGGTGCATGTTGTCTCTCTCCTCCTTTATAGTCCTCTGCTACGCACACGCCGAGTACGCTGCTCTCCTCCAATCAGGAGCAGGTCCTGCTGTTTATTGGTTGAACTGGAGGCAGCTGTGTAGAAGCTGTTTCCTCCTCTCCCAGCGCCATATTGTGGGAGAGCAGATGCATAGAATAAGTCTTAATTCCAGTAACAGTCTAGTCCCAGTTGCTCCCCACACCAGCACTGCAGGCTGGGGCTTTAACCCGTTGTGCCACAGCACTGACCCCAAGGCTTTAGTCTTTAACATGGAACTGTCACAAATGCTATACCAGACTTCTCAGCAGCTCCAACCCGCTTCATTGCTGCTCTCTCCTCTTCCTTCCTGGTTTACCTGGCCCTTCTCTGGAGACTCTCTTTACTTTCCTTGGCTGGCTCCTCTTGCCTGGCCGGTCTGCCTATGTTAATGCTCCCCAAGGCCTGTCCTGGTGCCCCTGCACTTCTCACCGTTCAGCTGGATGAGGTCTGGGTCATTTAGGTCCACATCCTTGGCACCAATCCCATACCTGATGTCTACCTCCATCTCTCTCATCAATTCTAAAGTAAGGTCTCTTTAAAAAAATGTTTTTAATGTTTTTTTTTTATTTATCTGTAAGGCAGAAGGAGAGAGACAGACAGCTCCTATCTGCTAGTTCACTCCCTAAATACCCATAACAACTAGGGCTGGGTCAGGCCAAAGCTCAAAGCTTGGAACTCAACCTGAGTCTCCCATGTGAGTGGTGGGGACCTAATTCCTTGGGCCACTATCTGCTACCTCCCAGGGTGTACATTAGCAGGAAGCTGGAATCAGAAATGGAGCCAGGTCTGCAACCCAGGCACTCTGATATGGGATGAGTGTGTTCCAAGCAGCTGGGCCAAACGCCTGGCCTAGACTGGTGCTTCTAACTGCCAGTGGGGCTCGCCCACTTGAATGTCATGTGGGCATCCTCAGTGTGTCATTATCTTTTCTCCTGTTCTTCTATTAGCTGCTGTGGCTAACCGATGCCTCATTTCCTCAGCTGTGCAGCCGAATGACATCTAAATCACTCTTAACTCCTTCCTTTCCCATATCATCTCCCCTCCAATCAAGTCTTGTTGATCCACTTTCTCGACTCTTCCCTGAACCCATCCGTCCCCTTTTTTCAACAACGGAGACTCATTACTTCTCACCTAGATTCCTGGAGCAGGCTTCCTGTTGACTCCTTTGCCTCTAATCCCACCCCACTTCACTCCCCTTCACACTGCTGCCAGAATGTCTCTCGAAAGCCCAAACCTAATATTGTCACTCCTGCACTTCAAATCCTTCAACAAATCCCTCTTATCTGTAAAGTCCAAAGCCACAGCAAGACCTGTGAAGCACCACCTTTTACTGAGCTTACCTTTTCCACCTCCTCTTGTTTTTAAAATTTTTGATAAGGCCAGCATTGTGGTGCAACAGATTAAGCTGCCTCTTGCTACACCAGCCTCCCATATCAGAGTGCTGGTTTCAAGTCCTGGCTATTCAGCTTCTAACACAGCTCCCTGCTAATGCACCTGCAAAAGCAATGAGGGTCCAGCCATTAGGGCCATCTGCAGGCTCACTCCCAAAAATGGCTGCAATAAGCAGGGCTGGGCCAGGCTGAAGCCAAGAGCTTCTTCCAGGTCTCCAGCATGGGTTCAGGTGCTCCAAGTACCCTGGCCATCCTCTGCTGCTTTCCCAGGCACATTAGCAGGGAGCTAGATCAGAAGTGGAGCAGCCAATACTTGAACCGGTGCCCATACAGGATGCCAGCACTGAAGGTGGAGGTTTAACCTTCTATGCCACAGCACCAGCCCTAAGATTTCACTTCTGAGCATTCAGAGCAGGCTGCTAGTATAGTTGCTCTCATGTTTTATTATAATGATTTTTTTATACACCTCCTTCCACCTTGGGCTGTGCTCCTAGAATATAAGAACTGTGTCTCACTCCGTTTTATACCCTGGCCTTTGGCACATACCAAGTCTTTCATCAGTGTTCAATGAGTAAATTAATCAATAAGGGAATGAATAAATAATTGACTGATTCAAGTCAGAACAAGAGCAATAGGAAAAGTCCAACTAAACTGCTGCTGTGGGATGTTCAGGGGACTGAGTCATATCTATTTGGAGACCTCAAAAAAAGACTGCATAACTTGACTGCAATCTCTCAACTTAGCCCATAAGGGCACTTCCAAAAGTTCGTGGAAAATGAAATTAAAAGATAAGTTTTGATGCAAAGATTTTTGAAGTCCATGCATAGTTTTTTTTTTCCGTAATATGCACTTACTATGAATTTTTTTGAAGATCTGTTTCATTTGTTTGTCTTGGGGAAGGTCAGTTCACTCAGTCCAAGGCATGACCCATTTCTTCTCCAACTTCCTCCCCCAAAATGAAACTGACTCTGTCTTTTCTGTCCCTGACATAACAGTGGATCTTTAATTTATTTTAGTTTTGGATATGGTTTCTTAGAATTTAGTTATTTAGAAAGGGAGATCCCTTCCTTATTCTAAAAAGGATTTAAGGGCCTCCCTCTGTATTCCTGCTGTAACCTCTTATATGGAAAGTGCCAAAAAACATGTGTTGAGTGAAGAAACAAAGGACTGCTCTGGCACCAGCAGTGCTCGGCCAGTGCCGGGAACACCTTGTGGGCTGGCTGTGGTGTTTGGCCAGAGCACCCTCCCTGACTGCATTTTGACTACATTTCTGTCTCCTTGCAGTTCGTTTGGGTTGTATCTTGTTCTGCAGATCTTTTAAATTTAGAACGCTGAAGGTCTGGAGTCTCCTGGGCTAAAAGCTCGCGTCAGCTGATCATCTGCCCAGCATGGTTAACGTTTAGTCCCTAAGCCAGCAGCTGAAGGTCCTTAAATCTGAAAGAATAACACACACACCAGTAGATAGTTTTGGTTTATTTAGTGACTCGTGGCTGTCACTCAGTCATCCTTTTGGTGTCCCTCTCAGGACATTATTATCCTCCTTTTCAAGGAGAGTAAAGGGGGTGGGCATTTGCTGGGTAAGACCATATCATGGTGCCTGATTCAAGTCCTGGCTCCAATTCCAATCCTGCTTCCTGCTAATGTGCACCCTGGGAGGCAGCATGTGATGGCCCAAGTACCTCAGTCCCTGCCCCCAGGATGGGAAACTCAGACTGAGTTCCCAACTCCTCTGGTTTCCACCTGGCCCAGCCCTGGCTGTTGTGGGCATTGGGGCAGTGAACCAGCAGATGGAAGATCTCTAGTTTTCTTTCTCCACCTTTCAAATAAATAAGTCAAACTTTTTTCAAAAGAGACAAAGGATCACGGAACAGGAGAATCCAGCCCGAGGGCAATTACTGAGGGGCTGGAACAGAACAGTCTGTTAACCTCTGCAGCATCCCTGGGGTCTGCTATGTATAAGGACCCACACAGAATTTAGAATCCACATTTCTGAGTTCTTAGAGCTATGCTTGGCTCACCAGGCCATAACAGAATATCTCCCTTTTCTGCAGATGAGTGCTCTCAGGGCAGAATTGTAACGGTATTCATTGTCTTTTCCATCTATGGTGGGCAGGTATGATTGTGGCCCCTTCTCCCTTCCTATCAGGTGCCCAAGTTTTGGGCCCAAATTTCCCACATTCAGGGGTCATCCCCACTGGATGTAAGCCAGCCAGCATATTCTCCACACTGATCTCATGACCCAAGATGGGCTAATCAGAGGGGATCTCAGAAGTCTGCCAAGATTGCTGGGACCTGGACTCCTCTCATCCTGGGAAATGGGATGCCTTAACTCTGCTGCAGCCATCCTGGGATGCTAGAAACTTCCAGGAGAGAGACATTGTGTCATGTGTCGGCTGAAGGATGAATCCAGCCCAGAAAAGGCAGTCAAGAAATGGATCCGTGCTATTTGAATCCTGGATCAAATTGTGCAAATGGGCCAATAAATTCCCTTTAGTACTTAAGCCTATATGAAGTTGTTTTATTTTGCTTGAAACATTAAGCATTATAACCAATAGATCATAGTTAGGTTACCAAGTGTATGACAACAAAGTCCCTGACTCTTGATTGCCATCGTGACTCTGGACACACAGCAGGCATTCAATAAATAACCTGAATGGCTCCATTTCAGCTAGAAAGAACACCTTCCATGAACTCCTTTGTGTTCACTGCACAGCAAAGAAATCTGTTACTCAGGAAAGTGGTGATATGGATCTGGAAGCCAGATCTTAACCTCACACAACTGTTTTACTGCAAAGTCTCCCAGTGAATACGTTGGGGTCTTTAAGAGGCCCCAGAATAGCAGTCCCCCTCCCTCATCTGTAAGTTTTGAATGGAACCAGCAAATAGCAATAAGCTAAATAAGGACCCAAACTTTATTGCAAATGAAGCTGATAGTAGAGAATGAGGCTTATATTACCAGACACGTGAACGCCCCAGTGCTCAACCTCAGGCTTAGACACACGTAGCCACTTATTGGCATACAGCTGGCCAGGAATGGGCCTCCCTGTGGGAACCTCCCCGCAGGAACAAAACTTGCTCCCAAGAAGAAAGGCGAAGAGGATGATATGAGACATGGTTTCTCCTTCCAAACGCACCAGTCTCATTAAACCACTCCTCTGTCTCTGGGAAGAGTGTGGGAGTGGAGGGAAGCCAAGAATGTGAGTGTGAGGCGAATGGGGCTCCTTTCAGAAGAACAAAAGCACCAGGAATGGGAAGGCACAGTCTCCCTAACACACGTCACCTGCATCTTACTCAGGTCAGCTGCTTCTGCTTTGTTTTCAATCAAAATGGGTGGGAATGTGGTGGAATTTGTCCTCATCTAAAATATCACTCTCCCTGGAAACACTCAGACAGCCTGGCAATCCCAAGCTCCCAAATGAGTTAGGGAGCTTCATGTAAAATCACGCAGAATTCAAAGGAAGAAACAAGAATTCACGACAAGATTATACAACCAGGGGCACGGGGTGGGGTGGGGGTGGGGAGGAATGATCCTGTGCTCCCTCACCATGCTCATCAAAGGCATTTCAAGAGCACTGAAATCTCACACACTTCCCACGCCGACTGTCAGTTTCTTTCTCGATGATCTCAGAGCCACACAGTGCATATTAGTCACTGGCAGAAGGGAACCAAAGTTTAACTCTTGATGGCACAAGGGAAAATGGCACTCCAAGTTGGATTCCAGGAAATACTAGACATAGGAAGTATGTCCCACATTCCCAGTTTCCCTAATGTCAAGGCTGGGGCTGCGAGCATTGTTCCAAACAAATGCCCATCCAGCCATGTGTTTGTCCGCCACATGCTTTTGGTTTTACTCACCAGGGTCCTTTTTCCTGCTTCTGTTTTCTTGGGGATTTTTGTTTGGTTTGGTTTGGTTTTTTTAAACGTAAACATTTATCATCCAGGCTTCAAGAGGCTTCCTCAAAAAACATGGTTTGTAGCTTTGAAGTTTTTGTGGACTAGCTAATTACTAGCTCAGCCGGACAATCATAACCTCCTAAATTATCCAAAAGCACATTTAAAACTCAAAGAGTTTTACTGAAAACTGTAGTGTTGGCTGTGAACGTCACTGGGCCCGGCGAGGATGTCCTCTGAGCTTGTTGCTGAGACAAAGCTTTGCTCTGGTGCTGCACAGCTCCTTGGTGAACTTTGGGCTGGAGGTCACTACACAGACTCTGCTGGCCGGTCCTGAGAAGGAACCCGAGCTAACAGTGGGAAATCTAGGACACAGCAGATTGAGACAATAGGTTGTCATCTTTTTCTCAAAGCTATTCTGTCATCCATCATCTGCCCCTCCTTTTACCATCAGCAGCTCTCCAAAGCCACTTTCGTACCTATCGATCATTGGCAGTGAGTTTTGCAATTAACAGCTGCTCAGAATCAATTATGAGCATGCTACATAGAAACAGCTTCTACACAGGCAGATCTGAGGCTTACTGGGCTGTCCACCTGCCCTCCAGTCCTTCTTCTTACCCCACATCAAACCATCTGCTGGAAGAACCTGCAACTTGAGCCACGTGTGTAACTGCCTATCTCAGAGAATGCAGTAAGATATTTGAGAGACACTTTACTTTCCTGATTGATTGATGTGTACCTGGAGGAAGGGTACGGGCAGTTCCATGAGAAGTTGCTGTACAATCCTTAATGGAGAGCATCTTTCTCGCTGACTCATAATTCCTCTCTTATTTCAGGCCAAAGGCCCTAGGGACAGACTGGGGTAAGAGACCTGGCCTCAGAGAACAGCTGTTGGAGCCAGTTGAGTCCCCGGGAGAGAAGTCATAGGGAATGGCCAATGGTGACGCACACATCTGAGTCGTGGCTGGTTAATCTCAGCATGAACCACACTAGTAAGATGCCCTCTGAGAGTCTGGACTTCCCACTCACCCAGTCCAATCACCAAGGCTTCGGTGAGTTTCCCACGGCTTCTGCTGACAGGGAGCCTGGGGGAAGCCATTCTTCTCATCGTGACCTCTAGGCGACTCCAGTACCGAAGGCCCTGGGGCCTCCGTGCCCTGGAGAGTTAGGAGGCAAACATTTATGGAGACATCTGGCATTTTGAGCACACGTTTGCTCAGCCTTTCCTCAGCTCCTGATCTGCTGGGTTTGGGGCAAGAGACCCTCCCTGGGTGGCAGCAACCTTGGGGGGGAAGGGCTTGCCAATGGCAGAGGGAGGTAAGGGACAGCCAGCCGGAGCCACAGCTGCTGGTTCTCCTGGAGCTCCCGGAGCCCTCGGGGTGCAGAGGCCTGGATTTATGGCCCTGCCTTTCCCCCATGATTCCACACTGTGCTTCTTTAAATCAGCATCAGCCACGCAGCTGTCTCGGGGTCTGGTGTTCACAGCAGAGACGGAGACGACAGAACCCTGGAGGGGCTCCCCCGGTTTGTCTACCTGCCCAGTGGTCGAGGAGTCATCTCCTGGGCCCGAGAGTCCTGTTTCCTCTGTGCAAAATGCCAGAATGCCTCTGCCTCCAAGAGGTTGCCTCTGTTGTCAGCTATGGGAAGAAACAGCCAGAGTTGCTATTTACACCCTGAACTGCAAGCTGGGTAAAAATAGCACTGGCTGCTTGGTCCAGCTTCAAACCCCACTGCAGAAAGAGATTATTTTTGGAAGAGAAGATCTTCCTCCCTCCCCACCCACAGATCTGAAAATGGTCACCTCTCCGGAAGAGCAGAGGAGAGACAATCCCACACAGAGGTGAAGCAGCTCCAGTTCCTGCCCCTGCCCAGGACAGCACCAAGCGCCAGCCTAGAAACGCCCTCCTCTAGCAGCCAGCTGCCCTAGTTCAAGGTACAGTGCAAGTTAATTAACTTTGACTCCAGCGAGAGGAGGCCGCTGTCTGTCACCATCCTGTCAGCTGTTATTGCTGGTAACCTGTTTGTCTCTCAAAAGGGAGAGAAAAAAACTGACCCAAAGGGGCCATAAGTCCACCCCTCCCCTCCAAACAACAGCTTCGAGCCTGAGGGCCTGGGAGTTCCTCTGCAGCTTCTCAGGATGGGCCATGGTATGGCTGTAAAATGATGAGCAAATTCCCAGAAGCCTGGTCTGGCCCCACCTCTGCATATGAGAACCTCTGTCTGTTGAGGGCTGGAAACCCCTCTCCCATGCGCTTGCTAGAGCTTGGGACCCAGTGTCTCAGGCACAGGGTCTCTTTCAGGTTCAGTAAGTGACCCATACAACAATCAGTAGCAGGAGAGCCCCTCTTTTTATAAAATCTTGTTATTTACTTATTTTCTTTGAGAGAAAGGGACCAAGGCAGAGACCTTCCACCTGCTGGTTCACTCCCCAAATGCCTGCAACAAGCTGGAGCTTGGCCAGGCTGAAGCCAGGAGCTGGGAACTCAATCCAGGTCTCCCACATGAGGGTCCGGGACCCAATTTCTTGAGCCAACACTGGCCACCTTCAGCATGTGCATCAGCGGGAAGCCTGAATCGGGAGCACAGCTGGGGCTTGACCCCAGGCTTCCAGATATGGGATGCAGGTGTCCCACACAGTCTTAACTGCTGTGCCAAACACTAACCCCCACTCCTTAATATTTATACAATAAAAAGATATAGGTACATCTAGGTGTGTAGATTATGACACCCGGGGAACTTTAAGGAAATACTATACCCACAGTGGGTACTTCTTATCACATGGAAGTATCTTGAGGATGTGTGGGAAACAGCAGAGGAAAAGATCAGATCAACGGAGTCATTAAATTGTTCTATAATCTGAAAGTGTCCAGGTCACCCGGAGCTCGTGTTCTGGAGATATCTGTAGGGAGGGAGGGAAACACCTCCTATGTCCTACCTCTAGCGGAACTCCATCTTCAAAATGAAACTTCCAGTTGGAGGAAACACAGCTAGTCTACCTAAACAACTAGAAGAAAGGAGAGCTGATTATGCATATCACTCCCCCAGCTTCTCTACCCCTCCCACCCAGTGCACGCAGAACTTCATCTCTTTGGCTGCAGTGACGGTCCTGGAGTGGGGACAAATCGGGGGACAACCAGATCTAGAAGAAACAGAGAAGAGGAGGATGAGCCTGGATGCAAAGGCAGCTCATTGCAACCTGGCTTTTCTTCTGGCATCAGACAGATGCAGATGTCCTCCCCTCATCACCTGCTGGCTTTGTGTGACCAAGTCACTTACGCCACAGAGAGGGGTGGGGCAGTGAGGATGAGGAGCAGCCGGTGGGGAGCACTTGCTTGGTGGCCAGCCTAGGGCCCAGAGCAGTTCCCGGGCCTGACTTTGGGCCCTGCCCTGCTTCCAACTGCCACAGGACAGCGAGTCCCCCAACTTGCTACCGTCTTAACTTCCTGAGAAGTGCACCGCATTTATAGAACGCACTCAAAACATCCTCTGCCCAGAGCTGGGGGCCCTTCCACACCACATCCTTCATGCCTGTCTTGGCTTCCCCCTTCCTGTGACACCTGCATCCCCGAGCCTTAGCAAGAAGTCAGAAACAGAACACCCTCCTTAGACATGTCTGCCTACAGTGAGCTCTGGCCAGCTAAGGGCTGGGTCAGCCCGACTTCTCAGCTGAAGGAGGCTACAGAAATGTAGCCAATCACATCGGCCGATGACACCGGCAGGGGAGCACTGTGGCTCTGCTGAGTTACAGTTATTTAAGCTTTTTGTCCTCGGGCTTGAGACTCCCCAAGGACCTGGGAGAGACAGTTCCACAGCCCTCTCTCTGGTCGGTGCTGCTTCGTATTTCTTGCTCCAAAGTTGAGAAGTCCAGATAATGCTGACTCCTTCCAGGGACTAAATGAGCTCAGGTCTCTGTCTCTGCCCTCTCGCCAGGGATTGTAGGCCAAGGTGGCTGGGCTCTCCCCTGCAGCCTAAGTCAGCTTCCTTCTGAGTCAGCTTGCTGCACCTCCCTATTAATAGCCCCTGCTTTGGCTGACTCCACGCGCAGTGTGATTACAGTTTCATAATGCGCCTCCAACAAGGAAGCAGCCACCTGCCTGGAGCAGGCCGGCAGCGGCTGAGAGCTCCGTCTCCATCCAGAGAGCAGAGGGTGGGGAGGCTAAACAGCCAGCCTCCACGACAAGCCGCGGCCTTGTCCAGAAGCCTTGCCGGACTGCCCCTGGTTAGGGAAGGGACAGCAGGCAGGCTAGCCTGCATTTCACCACAGCCTTTATTCTCACCATCTTCCCTGTTAAGGACTAAAAAGGTGGAGGTTCTCTTGTCCAATAAGCAGGCCCCTCGGCAACCAGGTTGGGGCATTCTGGGCCCACCAAGGTCACCTCTTCTCAGCCACAGCAGTGACAGGGTGCCTGGATGGGGTGGGTACTGAGAGCAGATTGGATCCCAGCAAAAAAGAAAAACATGTTCTGTGCGTTTTCCTCCTCTTCCTGTTTCTCCCTGGTAAAAATTAAATACTCCTTTGCAGTAGGTTCATCCTGACAAGCAATGCAATCGCAGCTCGTGGTAATTTGCCCTGGACTTCCCATCCCTGCTGGGCCCTGAATGGGAAGCACATATAGGATTAGAAACTGAAGGCCCAAGTTCAAATCCCAACTCGCCCTCTCAGATGAAACGCCTTTGTCAATTTATTCCACTTTTCCGAATCTCTATCTTCTCCTGTTTACAAAAGGGATGCTATGTCCTAACTGGACAACTTTGGGAAGTATGCTGAGTGCATGCCATGTGTGGAATGTAGTAAGTGATCCATATACCAGCTTCACTTCCTTTGCAGAAAATAAAAGATGGGGAAACTAAGGCCACCCAAACCCCTCACAGCAGGGAAATGGCCTGCATCTCTCCATATGTAGGCCCATGACGTAAATGTCTCTGATGTGCAGGCTCATGGGAACAGGCAGGACTCCGTTTCCCCTCCCTAGACTCATGCCGTTTAGAAATCCCAAATTAGAGACTCAGTCTGGACTGAGATGTGGTCCAGCCGTAGCCAAAGGCAGGCGTCTCCTGGCTCCAGGCGTCTTCCCCAGGGACAGGTTATCAGAAGACTCAAGGCTCATAAACAGAGGACACGGCGAGAAGACTGGGCAAGCAAAGGGTAAGGAAGGGCTTCCACGGGGCTCCCCTGGTGCGCTTGCCCACATTTCAAGGTTATCAGTCAACCAGGCCTCAGGGTGAACGAACCCTGCTATCAGGAAAGAAAACAAAATACCAACCATGTCCTGTTTTCAACCTGCTGAGAAATAGCCTGCCCCCAGAAGACACCTGACGACTGGACCACAAGTACTGGTGTCTGTTACTCAGTACCAGCTGGCTTCCCTCTGCAGACTACTTTATGTCGGAGAGGAGAGGGAGGCAGGGGATGGACTTTGCTCTTGCTACAGCTCACTTCCTTCTTGCTTTCCCAAAGCTCACACGAATCTGATGGGAGCCAGCCAGAGCTGGCTGCGCAAAGTGGGGCAAGCCCCAGCATGCCCTGCCTGCCACGTTCTACCCCCAGCTGGGAACTGACCAGGGGCCGGGGCAGAAGGGGAGGGAGCCCAGAATTCCCCTCCCCCTCAGGGGGCAGCAGAGCAGGATCTTCCCCTGGACTTGGTCCTTACTTCCCGTCTAGAGCCATCCTCTGGTTCATTCTGCTGAGATGCTGATGTGGGAGGGGATGAGCACACCGGCATTTCTCTCCGTGCCACACAGGCTGTCCACTTCAAGGATCAGCCACCCGGAGACCACTCGCCCCTTCGTCGATCGACAAGCAGTTGTTGAACATTGACCTTGCACCAGCACAGCTGCAGGTTCTGAATGCACACTGGTGAATAAAATGAAGATGGCCTCTGCCCTAGGAGGAGAGCCAGATGACGAATATGAAAACCAATAAATATGTTAACTGTCCAGTTGTGAGAAATGCTGTCGGGAGAAGCGCCACGGTTCAGAAGTAGAGGACAACGGTGGTGGTGGTGGGAGTGTCTGCTTTAGATGAGAAGTCAGGGAGGGCCTCCCTGAGGAGGTGACACTGGCAGTTGTGCAGGAGGGGCTCCTCTGACTGCTCAGCTCAAAGTTGTCTCCCTTCACTGAAGGTCTCGTTCACCTGAGCCAGGGGCACAGGGCAAAGCCTTTCTTGCGTCTCCTGCTGTGATGCGTGCACTTTTCCTCCCTTTCTGCCCACTTGCAGCCCCTCTGTCCTCTGTCCTCTGTCCCAGCGCCCTGCTCGCACACTCGCTTCCTGGTCCCTGCCCCCCTCTGCAGTTGTCTTCACTGTGAGGACACTGCCCACCCTGGCATGGCTCGGGGAATCTCTAATCTTCTTCAGGAACCCCTCAGTCCTGCCCTTGAAGCTTCGGAGGCTGCTGGACGTGAAACCAGCCGTTCCTGCTGGGCCAGCAGGCTAATCACAGAGTCTGCTTTCTGTGCCTCTTCATCTCAGGCTCTGGTCCTCAGCAGCATTAGCTCGGCGCATATCAGGCCATCTACCTCCTGGGTTTAGGAGTCAGCCCTCTGCACTATTGTGAAAGCAGTGCAGACCTGGAGCCAAACAGACCTGGGTCTGAATCCTTCCCCCTCCCTGTATCAGCTTCGTGAGCTTGGGCAAGTCATGGGCCTCGGAGACAAGGAGGAGAAAACCTACCCCACAGAGTTGGCCTAACAACCAGTCAGGAGGGATGCGAGATGGGAGGAATGCAGTACCAAGGGGAGTCTTTGTTTTTATACCAACTAGAAAGTAATCCAAGTAGAATTTTGGCAGCACCTGTGAAAAAGGTGATGGATGGCTCAGTTAAGAATGGTAGGCATTGGAGTTGGTCTTGTGGTGTAGTGGGTTAAGTCACCCCTTGGGTCACCTGCATCCCACATCGGAGTGTGTTAGCTTGAGTCCTGGGTACTCTGCTTCTGATCCAGCTTCCTGCTAATGCACCTGGGAAGGCAGTGGATGATGGCCTGAGTACTTAGGTCCTGCCACCCCTGTGGGAGACCCAGATGGAGTTCCAGGCTCCTGGCTTCTGTGTGACCCTCCCTTGGCTGTTACAGGCATTTGCACAGTGAACCAGTGGATGGAAGACCTCTCTCTCCCCCTTTCTTTGCTTTTCAAATTAATTAATCAGGGGCCAGCACTGTGGCATAGCAGGTAAAGCTGCTTCCTACAGTGTCAGCATCCCATATGGGCGCTGGTTCAAGTCCTGGCTGCTCTATTTCTGATCCAGCTCTCTGCTATGGCCTGGGAAAGCAGTAGAAGATGGCCCAAGTCCTTGGGCCCCTGCAGCCACGTGGGAGACCTGGAGGAAGCTCCTGGCTCCTGGCTTCAGATCTGCGCAGCTCTGGCTGTTGCGGCCATCTGAGGAGTGAACCAGCGGATAGAAGACCTCTCTCTGCCTCTCCTCTCTCTGTGTAACTGTGACTTTCAAGTAAAATAAATATTTAAAAAATAATTAATCAAGTAATTTTAAAAAGAATAGTCAGGTCCTTATCTCACCAACCATTTGCTCATAAGTAGCTCTTTAATCTGTGTATTGCTAGGAGGACATTTCAGGACAGAAACGCCATGAATTCTAGAATCCTGAGAAATGTATATTCTAAGTTCTTGTTCTCAGGTAGGACTGAATTAAAAAAAGAACAGATTTATTTATTTGAAAGGCAGTGTTGGCCGGCGCCACGGCTCAATAGGCTAATCTTCCACCTGCGGTGCCAGCACACCGGGTTCTAGTCCCAGTCGGGGCGCCGGATTCTGTCCCGGTTGCCCCTCTTCCAGGCCAGCTCTCTGCTGTGGCCTGGGAGTGCAGTGGAGGATGGCCCAGGTCCTTGGGCCCTGCACCCCATGGGAGACCAGGAGAGGCACCTGGATCCTGGCTTTGGATCAGCACGGTGCACTGGTTGCAGCGCGCCGGCCACGGCGGCCATTGGAGGGTGAACCAGCAGTAAAAGGAAGACCTTTCTCTCTGTCTCTCTCTCTCTCACTGTCCACTCTGCCTGTCAAAAAAAAAAAAGGGGGGGGGGAGAGTTGACAGAGAAAAGGAGGGAGGGACATGGGGGGCAGAAGGAGACAGAGAGCAGAGAGAGAGAGAGAGAGAGAGAGAGGTCTTCCATCTTCTGGTTCACTCCCCAAATGGCCCCAACAGCCAGGTCTTGGCCAGGCCAAAGCCAGGAGCCAGGAACTCCATCTGGCTCTCCCAAATGGAAGTCAAAGACCCAAGTACTTGGGCCATCATCTGACGTTTCCCAGGCACATTAGCAGGAAGTTGGATTGGAAACAGAACAGTCAGTACTCCACCCAGTGCTCTGGTATTGGATGTCAGCACCCCAGCACTGCAAATGGCAGCTTAACTTGCTACGCCACAATTCTGGCCCCACAGCGGGACTGGATCAAAGTCTCACACAGATGGAAACCTTTCTCAGTGCACAGCTGAGCAGTCTCCACCACACTGCCCTGGTGGTGCTGCCCTGTGATAACACACACTTACTCATTTAATCCTGAATTCCAAAAAATGCTTGGAACACCTACTATGTGCCATGAGTACGTCAAGGCAGGTGTGATATAGAGTCCATAGACAAAGTCCTGTCCCTTGTGGAAACCCCCTATATACAGAGGGGAGAGAGAGAGAGAGAGAGAGAGAGAGAGAGAGAGAGAAGCAGCAGGATGCGCGCTATGAAGAAGATGAAACAGGGCAATCGGATGAAGAGCAGTCGCAGGAGGGAGGGGTGAGGCCAGGTGGCCAGAGGAGGCTTCTGGGAGGAGACGGCCTCTGAGCAGAGACGGAGCCCAGCCTCGGAGGGTCCAGGGAAAGAGCATCCTAGGCAGAGGAGACCTCCACACACAGACCCTGAGCAGAGACAAGCTTGTCGGATAGCGCATTTGAATGTTATTGGAATCACAGAAGAGGAGCAGCACGGTCTGACTTAGGCTTTGAAAAGATCACTGCGCTGTTCTTGGAGATGTCCTGAAAGGGGCATGCGGGAAAGTGAGAGGACCGGCTAAGGGGGTGACGGCTGTGGCGCAGGCAAAGCAGACGGTGGCCTGAAGCAGGTGTGGCGCTGGAGACGGTGGAAACCGGTCAGACTAGGGATACAGTTCGGGGAGCTGGGCTAAGAGGATTTGCATAGGAGTTAGATATGATGGGAAGGATAGGGAAAGAGCGACCAGAGATGTCGCTTAGATTTTGAGCCTAACTAACTGGGAGGATAGTGGTGCTGTTCATAATGGGATGAGGCTGGTGGGGCAAATTACTGACCCCTGTCTGCCTCCAGCTCTAGAGCGCCTGGGCTGCTCGGGAGCCTCACTTATTACGTCCACGGCTAAACAAGGACATCAGCTTCTAGGTGTGAGCCATCAGGATCAGCTCACAGCGCTCTGTGTGGGTGCTCCAGAGATGGCAGCCCTTCTGCCCCAGGTGCCTGCATCCAGTGCACAGTCCACCAGATGACCCAGGTCAGGAACCTGGGACCCAGCCAAGGGCCCTCTCCCTCTAAAACAAGGAACTCGGAAAATCTGTTGCGCACTGACTGTGCCAGTTGTTGCTCTAAACATGTGGATCTCGCCTGATCGTCCATAGCCCCATGCTGGAAGCACTGTTATCCCCATTTTACTGGTGAAGAGACTGAAGCACACAGGTTACGTAACTTGGTCAACTCACACTGCTCCTATACAAAGGGAACCAATGCCATTCGGAGCCATAGCCTGTGAGTTAACCGCTGTGTTAGTCCATTCCGGCTGGCATAAGCAACAGGAATTTGCTTCCTACAGTTCTGAAGGCTGGAAAGGTCAGTGCACCACCAGCATCTGTGTCTGGTTAGGCCTCAGGATGGTGCCTTGCAGCTCTGTGCCCCTTGGCAGAAGGGCAAAGAAAGGGCCAGGGGTGGGGTTCCCTTCCCATTCTTTTATAAGGTCACTAATGTCATTCATGAGGGCTCTGCCTCATGCCCTCATCCCATCCTAAAACCCCCATCTGGCATCATCATACTGGCAATTACCTTTCAACATGGGAATTTGGGGGAACACATTCAGAGCATGGCAACCACTATGGCATCTTACAGAGAAACACTGCTCACATCCCATGGGCTCTGCCTCCTTAGTCATACTCACATCGTCTCTTCCTCTCTATGCACATGGCCACTGCCCTAGGGTAGGCCTTCCTCCCATGACTGAATAAGTCAGGATGCAAGGCCTGTCTGACTTGGCCAAGCTTCTGCTCAAAATCCTTTAATGTCTTCGTGTTGCCTGCAACTTGAAGCCCAAACTCCTACAGGACCTTGAAGACCTGGCCCCAGCCTCCTGGTGCAGCCTCACCTCCTCTCCTGTGGTTTGCCTCCAACCTGTGCTCCAAGCGTACCAAACACAGCTTGCTCTCCCAGGCCTGCACGCTGGGGCTGGGCCATTCCCTCTGTGCATACGACAGTGCGCCTGTGCACACACACTACTCACAACATGCACAAGCACACTTGTCCTTTTAGAGATTCCTTTTTATTCACTGAGACTTAGCTCACCTCCTCTGAGAAGCCCTGCCTCACTCTTATTTTTTTTTTTTTACAGGCAGAGTGGACAGTGAGAGAGAGA